GCTCTTCCTGCAGGTCATCAGCAGAGGAGGGTGCTCCTTCAGAGAATGCCTGCAGAAGCCACCCAACCCGGCTGGGAGGTTAAACCCCCCTGGGTCAGGCGGGCGCTGAACACCCACAGGAGCTGATCTGCTGGAGGCTGGGTGGTTCCCAGACTGATTGGCTCCCAGTGGAAAGGAGTTTCATGCACTATTTCTAGTTTTACTTTTAGAGTATTTTTTTTTTCCATTACAGAACTAAATTAAGAAAAAAAGGCACTTTAAGCCCAGAAATCTAGTTATATGGAGCAAGCCAGCAGTACTTTACCAAACTCTTTGCTCAGCCAGTCCTTTCTGGACTCACCTTTTTCCTGACAAGGTGAGATATGTCTGTAACACACTGAGCTGCGCCATCAGCTGCTTTTCTTACTGGGATCTGTCGCAAAACAGAACATTGTTACACAAGTAGTGGCAAGCAGCAACCCTCGAAAGCAGACAGGAATTCTCAACATCCACCTTAAATCAACTTACCGTGGAAACAGAACCACTGTCTTCGGTTTGTGCAAAGCCAGATGTAGTTCCAACCTGAAGAAAAAGCAGACGAAAAGCCATGGAGCAAGTTCTGGCAATCTATTCACACAAACCCGTATGCACTAGTTGAGAAAGGGACGGAAAACCCAATTCCTCCAGATCTCAATGCTGCTTTCTGCTCCTACACTTACACATGGGACAGAGGTGAAAAGCTTGCACAGCGACGCGACACTTGGCCCACTCTCACATTTGGCTGACCTATCGTTTCCAGCCCCGACACCTTTAATTGCTACAGAAGCCTATCAAATTCCCGCTTACTTCAGAACAATTAATGTCAGGGCATTTACTGACAGTCCTGTCTTTAGATGGCAGCTGCCTCCGTTTCCTTCTCTCAATCACAGCCCGTGTCACTTGGGAGCGACCACCAGCCCGTGGTCTGTACAGTCGGGCCTGAGCTCTTCCTGTGACCGCTTCATTTCAAGTCTCACCGGAAGAATGTTTGGTTAAAAGGAAGCCACGGGATGCACTAACCAGGGTTGCCTTCAGTGCCAGCTCAGCTACTCGTGCACTCTTTTGAGACTCCTTTGAATCTTCTATCTTTTCTTTAATTTCAGGAAGCAGTCCCTTCAGTTCCTCAATCTCCTTCTCGTCTTCAGGGGACCCATTTTCTGCCTTCTTTATTCGCTCAGTAAGCATTGCTAGGACAAAACAGTTCTCATGGCAAAACAACTCAAGACAAAGCAGCTGTCCAGTTATCAATGTCCAGAGGCAAGCATCCGCTAACACACATTTCAACAATTCTAGTATCGGGATAGCCCGTTACCGCTTTCAGACCGGCAAACAATTGCCCAGCAAGGCAACAAGCACACCTGCTTTCAGGGCAGTTAAGTTTGGCTTGTGAAAGCTCTCACGTTGGCTGGGCACTTTTAGAAATCCACTTACCCATTCTCTTGTCGATGACTTCTACAGATTTGCCGAACTGCAAGACAGCCTCATCGAACTGGCTGTTGTAGTGGTAGGCCAGCGCCAGCTGGTAGTGACTCTCGGCCAGCAGGCGGTCATGAGCCTCCAGGTACTTCTGCTGCAGGGCCAGGCAAGCCTGAAACTCTTCTATAGCCTGCGTGTAGTTCTCTAGAGGAGAAAGCCATAAGGTCTTTACGAAACACGAGCGTATACCCAAACAAGCAAGATCTGAACCCTTATTCAGTTACTCTGCTATTTTATTGCACTTTATATATATATAGTCTGAAAACAGATCTGCCATTGAATATAGCGATTGAGTTTGGTGACGGGCTGCTTTGAGATTATCACAGACTATATATATATAGTCTGAAAACAGATCTGCCGTTGAATATAGCGATTTGAGTTTGGTGACGGGCTGCTTTGAGATTATCAAGCGACACCTCTCACAGCCTCACACTGTGTCCTGTCCCGTCCCCAACACCTCAAAAAAGATTGTTTAGAGTCCAGTTCCTCTAGTCCTCTCCAGAGCACTTTTTATCCATTTACAGCACCACCATAAACTGAGCAGCCAAGTGAAAACCAGGCACACAAATCCCACTAAATCCTGCTCTCACCCAGCGCCAGGAACTGAGCACAACTTGAATCTAGAGCTACGGACAGCCCCCTGCTACCCCCCCGTTCAAGGTATTCTGGTGACATAAAACACAAGCCTCATCTTGTAGCCCTTGTCCAGAAACCTGCCACGTTACTTCCAGTACTTGCCATAGAGGAAGATTACACCCTGCTTGGATTTAACAAGACTAAAACACTTGTTTTTAAACGAAGGGCAGATAAGATACATTAGAAGGCACAAACCCAAGTCTTGCTTCACACTCCTGTTTTCTCGTGCATAACACATCAGGGTCTTTCCTGACCACACCCCCAGTATTTTGAAAAGTCTAATAAGAGTCAAGCACTTTTTATTTGCAGTCTTTATGTTCTGGAACTGGCATGGTACCAACACCTCCCATTGAGCTCAGTGACTCACTACTTCAATAAGGAAAGAACCCTCAGTTTCTGAAGCTAACCAAACCTTGCCTGCAAAGCAGAACACAAGGCTGGTTTTGACGTGGTAATGCACTACTTCTTGAAGCTCCCTTTCACTGTTCTGGAAAAGCACAGACTCTTTAGGGCACCAACTTGTTCACCCATTGATTCCAAAGCCTCTCCCATGGCTGCATAATCGTAATTAAACAAAGCGTTATTTTGTTTTCATCTTATCAGCCCTAACTCACCTCTGCTCATTTTAAAGTAAGAAACAGAGAAGGACAGAAGGTAGGACTGTATGTTACAATCAGCATTACTTACCAGATTCGATGCTAACTTCTCCTAACTTTAGATGAGCTTGAGCTGCATGGAGCTGAGCTTCTTTTGTTTCTTGTCTAAATCAAGAAAAAAAAAAAAGTAGTTTTCAAATCCTGATCAGAATATGCCACTGTCACTAATTGCTTACACCACCTCCTAGTTTCCAGTGAGTTTTCTAGCAGATATCCAAATTAGGACTTAAGCCTTTACCTCTTGTAGATGACTTTTGCTAACTCCAGCATGTCCCAGGCTAGCTCAAGGTTTCCAATTTCATCCTCTTCACTTTCCTGTAAAGACTAGAAATGCATTAGAGATTAAGCAACTTGGTTACATATCACATCAAACTACACTAAGTCTCTAAGCAGTGTTGTCAAGGAATAAATTTGTTTAGGAGGTAAACAGTTTACTACTAGAAAGAAAAAAAAAAGAACATGCAGCAAAGGTTATTGCATCAACTGAGACTTTGCCTGCAGTGAAGGTGTTTTAAGTGGAAGTTAAGCTTACGTTGTTAGTTGATAGGGCTTGAGTTTTTATTCCAGAAATAACAGGGCACCAAGCACCAATATTACCCTAAGAATAAGATTTTGCTTAAGGTGCTATTTAGAAGAATCAAAAGCTAAATAAAGGAGTTGATGTTCTGCTTTTTAAGTGAGCTTTTTGAACTTAATCAGAACAGTCTGAGGCAGAGGCAGGTATTCTATTTAAGACAGTCTTACAGCACGCTTAGTACCGCGCTCTAAGAGGCTTCAGATTCTTCCAGGTGTTTTGATTGCCTCATCAGGGAAATGCCTCAGATCTAAGCAGCACTACACTTGCCACTACATTTCCATCCTAACCATGCCTTATTGGGCTGGGCACATTCAACATGCGTAGCAAGACAAGAACAAAACAAGCAGAGAATAAACTGTTAGAAGTAACAAACTTCAGCAACAGGCTAAAGCAGCTCTCCCTGCCTGCCCCTGCGTTTACCAGGCCGCAGCATTACTCACCAGTAGACTGCCCAACCTTACAGACAGAGCTGAGCAAGACACTACAACACGTACTACATATAGGCTGCCCCTTTCTTAGGCAATATTGGTTTTCAAAAGTAATTTTGAAAAGTTTGTTGGGTTTTTTTTTCTTTTTTTTCCCAAAAGTCATACATAGGACAAAATAAACACTCACTTCTTTCATCAAGACATTAACATGAGATTTAGACAAATATCGCACTCTTCCACGAGTACAAATATCAGAGCTCAGCAATCTCACCTTGTCTTCCACTGTCAATTCATTCTCCTTATCATCCTCAGCTTTATCATTTTCTTTATCTTCCTCTTCAGATTCTTCTGTTTCTACAAGGGAAGTAGAGGAGTGAGAACACTTGTTGCTACTACACCGGCTTCACATGGAGTCAGGTAGAACATATTATATCCAGCCCTTATCCTTCCAGTGACAGGTTAGATGTGTGATGAAAGAAGAGCAGAGAGATTAAATTCTCAGCAGCAGCAGCCATCTTGCTGAAAGTGTTAAGCACTGTAGTCTAAAATAGTTCCAGGCTACCTTCGTTCTTGTTTTTAGTTTAACTCCACAGTATCTAGAACAGAAACTTACCTACAATTCAGTTCTCAAATGTATTGTGAACTCCCACTGAAGCCATGGGATCCTGAGCAGCCCTGGAGGCACTGGTCAGTAGCTGGACTTCACACTACAGACAACAAGGGTTTTCAGCAAGATAGCTGCCAAGCTGTGTACAAATAAGACTGTTTCTGAATTTGTGTTCCTCATGTCAGACATTGAAGTGGCAATGTTATTAGTGAACCTGCTACTGTGTAGCACTGATTTCACTTCTGATACCATGCAGGAGAATTGCATGATCTATTCTACCAGTAGAAAACATCTGGGGAAAGTGTGCAGTGAAGTAGTATAGCTAACAGCTTTAGAGCATCAGTTGACATAGAGTCATATTAATTCCTATAGCATGACCACTGCCTAATTCCAGAATAACAGGAGCTTGACAGGGCAAAAACTAGAGAACCCGTGATCTCATTAGACTAACTCCCCAAAAGCAGACACCTACCACTGAGAGGGCCAAACCTGTAAGTATGAGGACAGCTTGATCAAAGGCAAAACAGAAGAAATGTCGGGAAGTTAAATTTTAAATAGCGGGAGGAGCCTGGAATGACACAGCACCAGTTCAAGAGTGTCCTCACACTAACAGAGTTGGAGGGTGGGGGAAAAAAAGCAGCAGTATGCATATGTAAGCAGCCTTTCGCAGGACAATGAGGAGAGGGTAACTACTCTCAGTTTATGTTCATACGCCCCATCCCTGGAAACAGTCAAGGCCAGGTTGGATGGGGCTCTGAGTAACCTGATCTAGTTAGCAGTGTCCCTGCTCACTGCAGGGGGGTTGGACTAGATGACCTCTAGGGGTCCCTTCCAGCCCAAAACATTCTATGATACTCTGTCCAGACAGACACCTTGTTAGGCAGCTGCTCTACTAGTGTTCACCATGCTCAGCTGAACAAATCCTTCCAGTGTCCAGAACTATTTAGTCTGAATATTTGCCACTCCTAAAACAAGGCTCTTCCTGTGAAGCCGAGTTACTGACAAGCAAAGTTTCACTCATCAGCTCATCGATTAACTTGTGCAGTAGAAAGCACTGGCCTACTAAGACCATGCAAGTACTACGTCAAAGCGTCCAAGTTGTACTAGGTAACTTCAACGTAATCCTGAAGACAGCTATGATGAAGCAGGGAAGCAGAATGGCAGAAAAAGCTAGAGAGCTGAAAGACTGTACTAGATAGTAGCAATAAGCCTTCCAGTTCCAGGGCAAATTAAGTTTAGATTTCCCAACCGAATTCTCACTTGGAATTATCACCAGAAAGACTCAAATGGAGTTCCTTCCCCCCACCAAAAGCAAATTCACTATTTTGTTATGTATTCAGCTATTCTTAATTTTTCTTTCTGCTCCACTGTTTTAAAGCAAAATATGATTATAACCAGAGGCAACTTGTGCTTCAAGTTATTTGAAGGTTAGTGCAGTAAACCCAGACGCATGCAAGTGAACATCCATTCAGTATTCTCCACCAGCCTAGCCATTACTTACACATTTCACAGGGCTGTAAGTTTGCTTTCAAGTAAGATTCGCTTTGCAGTTAGTTAAGCGTTAGTCTAGAGAAACTGAGACTATTCACTATTCCTTGAAACTTTACTTGGATGTAAAATCCTTCAAGAGCCCCTTTTACTGTGCCTTTTCCTTATTCTAAGGCAAACAGAAAATTCTGAATGGAACACTTTTTACCCATTGTTAGCCAAATCCATCAAGTCATCCACCCACAAGTATTTTTCTCCTCTCACTGTTACCTTCTCCCTCTTCCATCAGGTCATCTTTCTCTTCTTTTTCTACCTTAGCACCTTCACCCTCTTCCATCAGGTCATCTTTCTTTTCCTCTTTCACTACCTTAGCAGCTACTTCAGCCTTTTCTTCTGTGTCATTAGATGGCTCTTTGCCCTGTGTGGACACAGGTTCCTTTGAGGACTCTGTCTCTTTAGATTCATCCAGTTTCTCTTCCGTAGCGGTCTCTGCTGGCTCTTGTTTCTCCTCCACCTTCTTCTGTTCAGCTGCCTCTGCTTCCCCTTCTGCAGCTTCTTTCTTCTCCACAGCAACTGCTTCCTGCACTTCTGCTGTCACTTGTGCTACTGCCTTCTCTTCCACAGCTGTCTCTGCCTGCCCTTCTACAGCCTCTCCCTTTTCCACAGCTGGCTCTTTTTCTGTTGCTTCTGCTTTCTGCTCTCCCACCTCTCCCTTCTCTTCCACAGTTGCTTGCCCAGCTTCAGCCTCTTCCACAACTGCCTTCACCCCCTTGTCCAACACTTCCGTCGCTCTGTCCTTTTCCTCAGTTGCGCCTGCTACCTTGTCTTCAGGCACCATCTTCTCTTTTTCCACTACCTTTTCTTCCACAGCTGCCTCCTCTTTTGTAGTCTCTTCTTCCACAGCTACCTGCTGCTTCTGCTCTTCTGACATTACTTCTTTTTCCACAGAAGCCTCCATCTTCTCTTCAGCCTCTTCAAGCTTTATGTCCTTGCCAGCAATTGCTTCTTCTGTTGGTTTTTCTTCTGTGATCTCTTTCATTTCAACATCCTCCTTGATTTCCTTCTCAGAGAGTACCGGAGACTCTTCTGTAGACTTTTTGGCCTCTTCTTTTTCCCCCATGGCGTTATATACCTGTTCTCTCAACTCCTCCCTTGCTTCTTCTACATGATTGAGGAAGCATAAACATTTCTTCGAGTTTAGTGATAAAGACATTAATGGGCACTGACAATACCACCCTCAGACCCTCCAAAGTGTTGGTTTGTCATCAAGTTAGATGACATTCCTAAAAGCTCCATTTTCAAAGTACAAGGCATTAGGACACAACCAACATGGTAACTTGAACTAAGCAAATCCCTTCCCCAGACTGCATTATTGCAAGCGGCCGTTCAAGCAGTGTGCAGTTTTGCGCGCTAGCGTTTTTAGTCACAGCTAAGCAAGAGGTGCCAGTGTTTTACTAGTCTGGATTGACAGGAATTCCTGTATTACCTCCAGCTGCAGGTAGTATAAAATAGTTAACTGTTCTTGGACTTTTTATAGAGACTCTGCTACACCCACTGTACTGCTACAAGGTTACAAAGCAGTTCAAGTTGACTGTGAAGCTTAAGAAAGCAAGTTTGAATGCAGTGTTTCAAGACACAGACACCTGGTGACCCTTTCACACATGCTTTCAGTGACCAGTTCCTTGCAGAAGTTTTAGAGGCTTTGTTCAATCTTTAAGCAAGATCAGAAGAAAAAAAAAAAAAGCCCATTCAGGCTGCTAAGAGTTTTGACAGAATGATTCAGGCTACCTAAGATACCAACAGACCAAACTTGGATTGTTTCCACAAGAAAAGGCAGCTTGGTGCCTCCATGACATGGCTGGCAGCTTTACATACCATCAACAGTTGGTAACGCAGAGTCCTCTTCAGCTTTTTCTCCTTCCTCTTCAACCTGCACCCCTTCTAGGGCATTTCCCAGCACACCATTTTCCATTCTAAAGGGAACAAAAGTTTGTTATCCCTTAGCTCTTGTAATAACACCGTTCTGACTGCACAAGATGCAGTGCCACGGCCCATCCCACCCAGTGCAACCCTGCGTATGCAAAGTTGTAGCATAACTCTGTCTATACCAGGAGTAAAAACCTGTTAAGCCAGGCAGACTCTTAATCAAGTGAGAAACTGTTAGTGTACCTTGCCAACTCCAGGAGAGATTTTCCATAGTAAAAAAAAGCTTCTGCACACTCATCCGCTGTCTCACCGTACTTTTTACCTCTACAAAAGTAATGAAAAATTATTTGCCTGTGCCTGCTTTAGACTTACTTCAATACATGAACTGAAAGCTAAAAATTCACTGACAGAAATAGTCAGTTTAAGTCATCTCCCATTGTTTCAAACAAATAAAGAATGTTCCTCCCACTTAGCTAGAGCCGGCCCTCAAACATCCAGCAAAGCAAACCAATCTAAAATCCAAAGAGGTATCACCCTCAGAGACTGATCAAGACTAGTAAACAAGTTACTAGCAAGTAACACTATTCCATTATTTTCATATTAACAGACATCAGAACCATACCCTGAAAAATAAAATATCAAATCCTTTTTCCTCCTTAGGGAGCTACACCAGCAATTACTGCCACAAAAGCTGTCTAAATTGCACACCAACTACGGTATTGCCCAACACTTGAGTTAATTTAAATAGTTCATCCTCTCCTCAGTTGTATCATAAATACAGCAGTATATGCAAGGTAAAACTCTCAATCTTCCTTGCATAAGCCACATCAGTATAGTCGAGCCAAAACCCAAGCCCTACAAAAATACACAAAACACTCTGCTACTCACAGTAAGCTCGCAGCTTCCTGGAACGCATTAACAGCAGCTGGAATATTTCCCATTACCAAGTGTTTCTGTCCTAACCCCAATAGTTTCTTCGATTCTCCATCCACATCCATACTGGAGAGAGGAGGAAAAAAACAAACCAAAACAGGATTCTGTCAGTTTCCATAGTAATTTCATACCCAGCTTTCAAAAAAAGGCAGTCAGCTTTATGTATAAGACTGAGTTGCATGCATTATGCTGGTTTGTTTGGGTTTTTGTTTGTTTAAATCTGGACCAACTTTTAGTTCTGATGAGTGAGGGCAGGCAGGTTAATTTTAACCAACTGCTGCAAGAAACGGGTATCAGAATCTGGCATGACAAAGGATGCTAAAGAATACACTTTAGGAATTGTACACCAATACAACACTAAATACCGCACAGTGTTTCACCAGACTCTGATGCTAGCTAACCCAACAAAAAGCAGAATAAATTGAAGTTAGGACTCCTCATAGGACAGCATGATGCATTTGAGAAGAATGATAGATGGAAGTCTTACATTTCAGTTTGGTGCATCTCACAGCTCCGTTTCCAGAAGGTCCATCCCAGTCCAGTACCTCGGACCGGGGGAAGAAGAGCTGCCCACAGAGGAGTACTACTACACGCCAGTCACATACTTGTAACCACTCCAATGCTTCCCCAGCACTAAATCATAGATCAAGAACTTCTGAAACAACAGCTGGTATTTGTGTATTTATTCGTCCTTGAAAGAGTTTTGTTGTACTAGATTTGTGCAGGCAACCGGTGAGCACAAGTTTTCAGCACCTACAGCGTCCGCATCCGTTAAACTTCAAGCCTAACAAGCGATTTGAAGGATGACCTTTTTGTTTCACTCGATAACCCCTGCATTCCGCATTCTTCAGCGGCTGACAACCCCGACCCCCATCTCACCTGTCTGTCTTATCCGTGGATGTGGAAGGAGCTGCTAATTCCTCTTCCATCCTGCAAACAAAATATTGAATAAGCGTTTAGAACAGGCCACCCATTTCATGACAGGAACTGAGCTCCGAGGCGTGAAACCAGAGCCAGGAGCAGTGCTCGCTTTCGGGCATCCAGCCATCTACAGCGAGTTCACATGCCGGCTCGCTCCGCTGGCTGTCTTGTGGAGAAACCTATTAGTTTCAGTTTTGTTTGTTGCTTGAAGGAAGGATTGTTAGGAAGGCAGATTCTTTCACGTTCAGGTTATATCAGACTAAGCCCGGCCAACAGGTCTGCTGCCTAAAAACCGGTACCACCCACCCACCCCTGCCAGGTTGCAGCCACGGACCCAGAAGGGCCCTGCAGCTCGGGCCCACCCCCGCACAAACCTGCCGCACGGAACCAGCCGCAAAGTACAAAATCGGGTGTTTCGCACCGCGTTTCCAGTCAGAAAAAGCGGGGACGTGCCTCAGGCGCCCGCCCGCGCGGCCTGGGGGCTTGCTG